CAAATAGCAATAGATTTGCACTTCCTCTCCTAGCAGATAATCACAAAAAGAAAATTAATAATTAAATAATATAGTATGTATGTATTTATATATAACAGCTTACAGAAACAAAGTTAACTGCACATGCCTAAATATAGCCAAAATTATCATGCTTTTCTAAATTTTCTAAAACTGTAATCGGAATTTAAAGCATTTTAAATAGCAATTTTTTAAACTTCTATATTTTTTACTTTTGAACAAAATGAATAAATACATATTTGCTACCTCTTCGAAAAATGTTTTTTCGGAAGTTTCCCACTTACGTATCTGAAATCTTTCTTCTTTGCTCAATTCAAGAATCTGTACAGTCTGAATTCGTACATATAATATGATTGTTCCTCTGCGTGTTCATATCACCTGAATTATTCTTCATATTAACTTCTGGCGCTTGGAATGAAAAATAGGACAGGCTGCACAAACAAATGAGGACAGCTTCCTTTTGATGGCACATGGACAAGTCTTCGCTACGGCAAACGGACTTTCACTAAGCAGCCCAAAGCAACTCTTATTGCTTTGCAGTAAATTTTAATCTTGTAAATTTTACCTAGTAGATTTAATCTAGCATTTTAGTTGGTCAAGTGAGTCTTGGTTCCAGGAAGAAATTTTTATTTTGACTACCGAAAACCATCGGATGGATTTTTTTCCCACTCAGAAAGCTTACTGTAGGTAGTTAAAGTGATCTGAATTGATCTGGATATAACATAAGCCGAATTTAAATATTATCATTAAGTATGTTCATAAAGCTCCCAGATGGTATAATACGTAGTTAGAGGAGCTTGACTGCGATTCCAAAGGGCACGGGTTCGAATCCCGGAAAAGGCATGGATGTAAAATTGTCTATTCCTTCATAGGAAGTAACCATGGCCGCCTATTAGGTGCCTCCACAATAAAATGACCACCACTTCTGCCCTTAGTAGTGGCCAATGCCGTTATAGTTACGGAACGGATTTTAATGTTAATCAGAATGAGATCAAAGAAGATATCAGCAGAGAAACATGGCTCTTTACACGTTTTGCGAATCTACTGTTTGCATTTTATCTGACAGTTCTTTTGCCCTGGTCGCAGTTGCCTTTTGAAAGAAATGATCAATTTTACTTAAAAGTGGCAGCTATGTTAATATCCTTAATTAGCAAGAACAATTTTAAGGAGATGTAATTATAAACCATTAATTGTCAATAGTTCTCGGAACATCTTTCTATGATTCAAACGAATGGACTAATAATTCCTACATGTATTGAATCGTTTATTATTATAATGCACTTACTATTGACTATATTGGCTGTTTAAATCGGCCTAAGTGTTATCTAAAGCATATTAACGAGTATAGGCGTGCGAATGAATAAATGATGACAATTGAAAATTCTGCATTATTTAATATCTATTCTGAAAACGGATAACATTACTTGGTAATTTTAGCTATATTGCTTTAAATTACGAAATATACTACTGTAGATGAAGATCATGATTACGTATTTAGCTATATATCATATTAGAACTTTTGTAAAGCTTTTTAATGCCATCTATTAACATATGGTTTCTTCTTAGTTTAAAACTTCAAAACTAGCGCTAATTAAACATTACTTAATTGCTTAAAAATTGTTTGACTTAGAGTTCCTTGATTTTGAGTACAAAATTAGTTAATTTATTATTATAACTTAAATATATCATAATATACCATATTAGAACAACTCATCAAAATTACTATCTTGTAAAATAGATAAGTAAGTGGCTTTCTTTTTCTTTTTCAACATTCTCATAATTTTAAGAAATATTTACAAAACGATAAACTGATATACAAATATCTATTTCAATCTCAATTTCATAAAAAAGTTTTAAAAGAAAAGAATGGTTATTTTCGAAAAAAAGCACAGATAATAAGATGAAGAAAAGACTTAAAATTATGAAACAAAATCGCAAATAAAATTGATCAAAATAATAAACGCATGAAGCATGTCTCATTTACATAACTAACTGTTAGCGTAATTTAGAGATTTCCGTCAGTTAATCACTGAGATAATTACTTAAAATTCCAAATTCAAAACATTAAGCAGTTAGCCAACTTTTCTTTAGTTCATTAAATTAATTTAATTACTGAATCTTGGGTTTAAATTTAAAACAGTAGTAGATACTCTTGCATATTAGCAATATGCCAAATGGTATAACTGTTTAGCAGTTAGTTAAAACTTCTTACACTCTTCTCTTTAACTAAAGAGAATTCATTTCAAACGGATTTAGCCGTAAAGCAAAATAATGTCATACAGGCAAATCAGAGCCTATAGTTCGCAACCTGTAACTAAAATCAGGATCAGCGAGAAAAAGTAGGAGCACTTATTTCGTCAAGAGAGAAGAGACACAGGCCAGAGTAAAACATACAATTACGCAAATTTACACCTTACGTTTGGCGTAGATTTCAACCAAGACTCTATCAATTTCAAAGGTAAACAGGTACAGATCCGTCTTCATCAGAAGCAATGAAATTCTGCAACGAAGAGAGAAGGCACAGCCGTATTTATACCAAAAGCAAAGTAAAGCGACACCGACTAGGTAGTGAGACCAATATTTTTCTTATTCTTGTCACATGAAACCAGCCTTCAGTATTTCTGAAACACTCTGTAGCCTCTACTTACAATTTTTCATGAGTTAATGATCGAAATAAATGTAAAAATTAGAAGACAGAGAGAAAACAAAAGGGCAACTAATGACAAAATTAGGAAACTTGTATGCATTACATAACTTTTATAGCATCATTAAATTAGGTAAATTTTTATCAGGTATAATGAAGCCTCGGCTCACGAATTTGGCTCGTTCATGAGCGCCATAGTCATCGAAATCATAAAAACAAACTATTTTTTCTCGTAGGAATCAATGTAAAATCGATTAATCTGTTTTAAACCACAGATAATCATTTATTTAAAATTTACAACAGTAATTTGGACACAGATTTATAATATAAAATAATGCAAATCATCTAATCTAAGACGAAAAAAAAAAACGTAAATACAGTATTAAATAGATAAACTAGAGGAAAATTCAATTTAATTATATCGTATCTATAGAAAGAAAAGGGTCGGCATAGATGGAAATTGATGAGGAGGTGAAAAAGAAGAGATGGTATTGTTTAGATAAGAAGTCCCCTTTCATAAAGACATCAGGTAACCGTCTTTCTGAGACATCTTCTTTTATCTCTCCTTTGGCTTTGAGCACCATTCACTAAGTCCTCTCTGGGCCTCCGCATTGTTCACTCACTTTCACTCAGCATTGTTCAATGGGATTTGTTAGAGTGATGCAGAGCACTGTCATTGAAAGCGCTTTGCTGTAGCTTGCTAACGCTTTATTAGGGGGATATTGTTACACTAAACTTTGCACTTTATCCTATTCTGCACAAATTTAGCGGATCAAGATCACAAATTCAGCACAAATTTAGCGGATTTTTATTTAGAACTAGGTTCATCTTCTGCTCGTTTCTCTTCCTCTGAAGACACTTCTTCCATAACTTCCTGTTCTCGTTGTTTCTGAAGATGTTTCAATTCTTTCTCGTTGACCTAATATTTATGATCTTCTAACACCTTCGCGTCTTCTTTTTTAACTTATATTAACATTTCTTCGGAAAATCTTATATAAAGGCTTATGATTTTACCTAAAGACACAATTTTACAGATAACAAAACAAATCCTTAGTGTGAAAACCCTATGCCTGCAGCACAGTCTGGCCATAATTTACTCCTGGCGGAATTCAAGGTCCAGTAAATACCTTGCTACAAGGCTTCTTTAATGAGATTTAAGCGATGAAAAATATTAAAATGATATCCCTAGAATACTGAGCGTTTGTTCTGTTTCAGAGATCCTTACATTTAGCAATTAATTAAACAATTAAATTAATCATTCTTATTAAAAATCGGATCCGAATTAAAGAAAATTTAACAAAAATTGTAATCAATTATTACCAAACGACAATGAAACTTTACTATTTCATTTATTATAAGTCTTTTTTACTGCAGTTAAATATGTAAAAAAGGAAATATTCTAGTTTAGAATTAAAAGTTAATGCAGCAGAGGAAAGAATAAAGAACGGTATATAAAAGATATGGCCAAAATTTCGATTGTGATGTAATTTTCGGTGGATCACCATTTCCGTTTCTTAACGTACGTGCATAAATTTTCTTTCACTAAATTATGGTGTATCAATGAAGAAAATTTCTTTTATATACTCTAATAAAATTCTAGCAATTAGTTATCCTTTTTTTTATCTTCAGTAAATATACCGTGCATTATACAAGATGTGCATATTATTTGTTCAGCAATTTTATTCGCGAAGGATATTACTTTTTACACTCATAAATAGTGTTACATTTATTATCAGTTCTTTTTTATTTAATTTACGTCAAATCTATATATACATTCCTAACAAGAATGTAGTGTCATATTTACTATTACTATTCATGCGGGGCCACTTTCGCTTTTATCACTAAATTTATCGTTACAGCATCTATATTTTCAGGGGCCTTTTGCATTTTTGAGACTTAAATACACTTTTACCATGTTTATAAAAACCTGTATTTTATGATGCATACACATTACGATAGTTTTAGGAATAAGTTATATTTTTGGTACTTAATATCTTTATTCTTATTTATGAAAACAATTTATGTATTTTTAAATGAATACGTATCACAATGGCATAAACGCAGTTATATTATTAACAATTATTTAATACTAATTGAGACTTTATTTCTAACGCCTGCTACTAATTATGCAGGGAGCTTGATTGCGTTGAACTCCACGGATTTGATTGTCAGCTTGGGCATTACATTTCACATACAAAGTCGATTCTTTCACCAAACGTTAGCCAACCATGGTACATAGCATACAGTGTAATTCGTATAATGTCCTATAAATTTATATTTGCACTGATTTTGGATTCAAACTAAAGTATATCTTGTAATGTCTTTTTCTTTTGTTCAGGAACCTTGAACACTGGTGAAGAATCGTGCTGGAATGGGATGTGGTGGTACAAAACCAGCAGCTTGCCCACAGGTCAAAATTTGTATTTTATCTTCCGAAATGAATGACATGTAAATTAATAATTAATTTAGTCTTGTATTATTTCAAAATTTCATTATTAGAGGTGCTTATTTGTACATTTAATGGATGTATATGTAGGTTCAAAAGCGACAGGCAGGATATTTAAAAAATATTGCACGATTAACTACCTGTTAAATGTTTAGTCCTAAACCTGAGGCTTCAGGATAAGAAATTGATCAAATAAAGTAGATTTTTAGAATATAATATTTTTCATCTCATGAAACTTCTTAGAAAAAATATCTAATCTAATTTATACAGGTTTTTTGGCACGTGAGCTATTTCTTACCCAAATGAAAGGTCTTCCAGAAGAAACTGGATTCTCTAATACACAAGAAAAAATTGTCAGAATTATAACTTGAACTATTTTCATCTGATGGAAAGAAATGAGGAAATGTCGATTTTTTAAGGGTTGTAAAATTCTAAAGTTTATCCTTTCTGAAAACGGAAATTTTCAGCCCATGATTATAAATTTATGTTTCTTTGACATAAAAAGATAACGTTTAGAAGTATATATCTGAAAGCATACAATTTCGAATGCATGCATTATGGCCATGGGCCAAATTTGTACAGAGTGAATTTCAATTTTGATCATATGATGGTGGAGATTTCTTTGATTCACTAATTCATCAGTAAAAACATTTTTTCTCACTGATTTTTTCCCTGCAAGCTGAGCATAAAATATTTCTTCTTATATGAGTAGATATACTAAATTCATTACGTGACAAAATTGGAGCACTCTGATAGCCTAATTTACTTGATTCATTTCGTAAACTTGGAGTACAGTTCTACAACTATTCAGTGATTCACGAGCTTTTGAAACACTTCGAATATTCATGAGCTCTATTTTTATGAAACGAAAAATTTGATGATAAAGTGCATTTTTAGCCCCAAATGTGGCAGAAAAGAAATCTTAACTACTTACTCACACAAACATGAGAATCTCGTTAAGATTGTCTGAATGTTCTTTTTTCCCCCGACTGAATGGCATCCATTCATGAAATTATCTTTTTTTTTATTTTTATTTTTTATTTTTTTTTACAACAATGTATTCAGTTTTCCGCTTAGAAAATGATTTTTAAGCAAATGAATAACATGCTTTTAATTATTCTTAGTGCGTTCTTGCACTCGTTTTATTTTTCAGATTTTGATTTGTATTCTAGTCTACGTTTAGTTATCGCCGCAAGTGAATGGTGTTTTTGAAACGCACGAAGTCCGTGTTGTCTGTTATTTTAGTTTGAGTTAATAAAGGGTTATTTTGCACCTTTCTTCTGTGTTGGTATTTATTTCACGCCTGTGCGAGAATTCGCCAGGTTCATTGTAGGATCTAAACTAGTGGATGTGGAAAAGTAGAGACAGAATCTTAGAAGCTGGCCGACAAAAGAACGAGAAGCTTTCTCGGAGGACATTTTAAGAACTTTCTGATGAATTTTAATGAAATTTCGCACGGCTAAACCATGAAGATCCCACGCAACTAAGCCTTCAGTCGTAGGAAACCATGGCGCAATAAACTAGTACTTGGTATTCATCTTATCCACTCGGCCGGAAGGTAATCAAGCAAACTGGATTCAGTTATTACATAAAATATTTCTTGAGATTTAAAATAAAGTGAATTATATTGTAATTGCGAATGAAGTTAATTCTTTTTATAAATATGTAACTTCAGACACGTAACTGCTTAACAGCGAATTTCTATTAATACTATGCCCTTTATAATGATGAATATAATGCCTTATTTTACATTCATTTATTACCATACATTTTCTATAAATATTTCTTAGTTTATCCGGATAATTATTACTTACTAGAATTTTATCTACTATTAGACTGAGTTATCACCACTTATTTCTTTGTACTTCATACACCCATACATTACAAACGCGATAAAATGAGTTCAAATTTAAATTCTTATTCATTTTAATACTTCATTAAAATTTCCCATCCAAGATATTTCCTGCACGAACTTTAATGCTTGCCATATTTCAAGTTATTTTTAATATTGACAAAACTGGAAGACTGAATGTTTACTTTGATGCTAAAATATTACTCAGTAACAGGTTTGTGCGAACTAATTAAAATATTTCTTCCCCGGTAAAAGAATTGGATAAGCCGCTTTTACGATGCACATGGCTCTGCAAACAAGGCACTTAATTAACGTTGAATAAGTACGTGACTTCTTTGGATTACGGGAGGATGCTCGTATTTTAAATAATTAAATGCTGAGAGATTGTATTCTGCCTGTCTTTTAATTAGAAGGATAGCGTAAAAGTTTTCTCAGGGCCAAGAATTAGGATTCAGGAAAAGTGTTTTTAGTATTAGATTAAAATCAATTATTTAAATTTGTAACGAAAGATCTTTGAGCTGGTTGGTAATGAAGATTTACTCGACACCTCTTCTCTCGCTAAAATCGTTTTCGTTTTTCGGAAAATAATGAACTGTTTTATTGCTTAGAATACAAATTAGAGAGATCTCTTTAAAAATATTTCTCAGTAGACGTTAAGCGTTAAGTTAACGTCTGCCAAGTTTTAATGCATTCGATTTCGGGTTGGATTTATATTGAAAAAAAAAAAAAAAAAAAAAAAAAAGATGAATCAAGGTACAAAGGGAGAGAGTCGTTTTTTAATTAAAATCAGGAAAACACAATTCATTCATGGCATTTTAAGGAACTTTAAAATTTCAGAGTTTAACCCGTAACTCTCGGAAAGCGCCAGGTTTGGAAATTGAAAATATAGCGTACTTTTATGATTATTAAAGTAAATGGATTAAAAAGCGATTTGTGCTAAAGTGGACGAGTTTTAAAATTTTAATTTTGGTCAAGTGGAAAATATTGGTTTGTAGAATAAAAATCCTTAAAATTTACGAAACAGGCACCAAATATTTCCATTTATAAGTGGCAAGAGACTCGAAAATATTTTGCAAACTTCTTACTTATGTAAAAATAAAAATAAAAAGGGGTGGAACTGAACTTACCTTTGTCAGGACTTGTATGTCTTTTTATTTGCTTTGGAAATATGACGTGTCCTGAATAGGAACATGGAGCTTACTCAAGCTATGTTCAAATACATGTGGAATGGACACCACCAGCAAGAAGGGTTTACTTTACCCTTTATTCTCTATAAGATCACAGGTGCTCCCGCACTTCGGGATACAGAGACCAACCACTTGTGGTCTGAAAGTAAAAATATAAAACTGCTAACTAAAATTCTAAATAAGAGCTAACTTTGAATTAGTTTACAAATGCCTAACACTAAGTCTGGCCTTTTAAAAGATTACGTATATAGTACGCAAACTGCCGAAACTACAATACGTTTTAAATATCAAGAGGACTAAATATCTGGCTTTAAAGGCAAGCAGCAACATTGAAAACTCGTACAGAATGCAGTGGCAAGGCGGCTCACTTTCCCTCTCTCTCTAACTTTTGGCAAAAAGCTACAACTTAAATACTTGGGCGTTAGCAAGTAAAATTTGCATAAACAAGTTAACGCATTTAATTCTGACCGGAAGTGGAAAAAAAGAAAAGATAGTAAAGTTTTAAAATAAAATAAACGTTAGTAAAACTTAAGATCCTTACATGTAATACAACTTAAGCTTCAAATTTGCGCATGCCTCTCAGAAAGATCAAATCGTCTCTAGGATTCTCTTTCTAACATTAAATCGATGCAGAATTGGAAACACAAGTGTGTAACCTAAATCTTAAGAGTATTAAAGCTTTCAAACCTTCTGAAACGGGAAAAAAAATTTCTATGCTCTTCGAATTTTCGTTTGTTATTTCAGGACATATTTTTATTGAAGCAAAAAAGAAATGTGGAAGGGGAATAAAAAAAGAAGTTAAATTTATTTTACAAATGCCAAACACTAGCGCTTAAGCCATTAGTTCACGAGCTCTCCAGTACCTTTTAATAATGTTCCCATACCAAGGAAGTGCACATCATTGTCATGTAACCCTAAGATAGTCTGGAGTTGTGTTCACTTTTACTGAGGAATTCTACCGACATTTCCAAAAATAGTTAAATAAATCAGATGTTATTAACTAATATTACTGCATAGCTTAAAGTTTCTAACACAGTAAATTTATGCAAAAGTCTGAATATGAAATATTTTCAAAGAGAGGAAGAATACAAATTTAAAAATTATCAAATAATAGTGTTGTTATTATAAGACTAAACTCAATATGGCTTAGTTTAAATACTAGCTTAATCGTCCTAGACTGCCGTACTAATTTTCACTCCGTCTTCCCCTTTCAATCCCAGAAAAATAATTAATTACAGTGATGTAAACCGCAACTATAAAATTTATTTTCCTTTTAACTTGAAGTTGCAGAAGCTAAAAAACAAACATTAACAAAATTAATTTGCGTTTTCGTCGGGGGGGGGGAGGAAAAGAACAATAAAGCAATGATTCAAACAAATTTACAGTTTTAATTTAAAGCTTTTCAACTTCGTTTCTTTACTCCGCGATTCTTAACATAGTTTCATTCACAGAAAAACTCAGCAACTCACATTTTAGAGCTAAATGCATACTCTGAATGCATTTATGCTCCGCGCATTTTCGCCCACTGCGGTGCGTAACTGGAATGCGAGCTGATGACGATCAAAAGATTAACCTTGATGATGATCAAAGATTAACCTTGATGACGATCAAAAGATTAACCTCATTTCATTTTATTTTCTGATGGAGTAAACTAAACAGGAGACTCGCAGAAAAGAGTCAACACAAAATTTTTTGTTTAACTGTTTAAGATAAATCTCATTTAAGGATACCTATTTAATCTGAGGGATGTGTTTATGAGGACTTTCTAAGGAATTTGTTACATGAATTACAAGAATGAATGAGATCGATTGGTTAGAAATCAAATTTTTCTTTGTGAATATTTATGTTCCGATTTTTTTCCTTCAGACACCAGCGCTCTCTGTTACACCAGCAAGAAAATAATCTGTCCTTTAAAGAATGAAACC